TATACAATGAAACATTTTATTGAAAATCATGAAGATTATATAAATAAAAATCCAGTTAAAGTTCTACAATTGATTTATGATAATGAAAATTTTAATGAACTGAAAAATATTTATTTGGAAAAGTTTTGTGAATATAGTGAAAAATTATTTAAATCAAGTGAATTTATATCATTGGAGAAACCAATTTTATTGGAAATTCTCAAGAGAGATGACTTTTCTGTTGATGAGATAGTTATTTGGGAAAGTATGCTTAAATGGGGATTGGCAAGACATCCTGAAATCAATAATATCAATGTTGAAGATTGGTCCTTACAAAATTTTGGTGATTTAGGCAACACATTAAAAGAATTTTTTTCTCTAATAAGATTTCAGGATATTTCTAAAGATGATTTTTTTAATAAAATTGAACCATATGTTATACTTTTTCCTAGGACTTTATGGAAGGATATTTCACATTATTATTTATTTCCAGACAGACAACAAACATTGAATTTATTACCATCAAGAATTTCAAATTTGAACTCAACACTTGAATCATTGACAATCAATCAAAACCTTACTTTGCTTTTTGCAAGCTGGATTGATAGAAAAAGTTCACCATACACTTCATTCAAGGAAGTCAAATATGAATTCAAACTTCTATATCGTAGTAGCAGAGATGGTTTAAATGGAGCTACATTCCATCAAAAATGTGATAATGTTAACAAAACTCTTTCAGTTGGTAAAATACAAAACTCAGAGCAAATAGTTGGTGGTTATAATCCACTAAATTGGAATGGAAATGATGTATATAAAAATACAACTGAAAGTTTTATTTTTAATATTAGTAATAGAAATAATATCAATACTGCACAATTCAGTTATGTTATTAATAATAATTATGAGTATGCAATTTATTGTCATCCTTCTAATTTATCAGTTTTTGGTAATGGTTGGGATTTTTATTTTAATGATGGTGGTACTATTTCTAGTTACCCAAATAAAACTTATAGTGACATCAATATTGTAAATGGTAGCAAATTTGATGAATTAGAAGTTTTTCAAATAATCTGTAAAAAATAAACATAATAAATACAATTTATTTATAATTCTGATAATAATCATATATGGAGTAGTTTATCCTAACAAAATTATTGATTATTAAACAAGAATTTGATCCAGGAATTGATATTACAACCAGAAAATAGATTTGGCAACCATGTTCTGAGTTTTTAATTTTTTTTTTTTTTTGATTCTTATCACACTTAATGCTCATGAATTCCACAAAATTCAAGAAAAATACTTTGTGATTTGATTGATAATTGTAATGCAAGATCTAGTAAAGTAGCCTTTAAAGTTTCAAATATCAATTTATGTCAATTTTATAATGGTGTAGTTGTGTGCAACAATAATCTGTTAAACAAAACATTAGTCTCAAAAATCAAAATTTTTCTTTTGTTTCGATTTTCTACGGATTTAATCGCCGCAGTTGAAGTTGTGCTCCCAAAAAAAATTTTTTTAACACATCGATTTTTTTTAAAATGTTAACAAGAATTAAGACCAGCACTACAACTTCCAAAAGGTTACACATATCTCTATCCCTGTGAATTTAGGACAGCTTTAGCCTTCAAAAATCACATATGAGAGATATAATTATATGCTTATAACTAATAATTAATTAATATATATAATAAATAAAGAAGCCGGAGGCATTTATGTCTTCAAATAGTATAAAAATATACATCATCTATTTACAAATAATCCGTTCTGTAATAAATATTTCATAATTTTAATGAAATAAAATATTCTTGTTAATAAACAATTTTGTAGTCGGAAATTAAACAGTAGGGTTTAATTATCCTTGGTTATCAGAGTGGTATAAAACTCCGAGGTTTGGTATCAATGTTGATTAACCAGCGCAGTGTAGTAAGGTTTTTGCTTTGGTATAAAGCAAAGGTTTAGAAAGTAATTGTTGTAAACATACGGCTGTTAAATAAGCAGTTTAAGGAGTTTTGTAAAGCAAGAGACCAAACTAACAAAGAAAAGTAAAGAAGGGACTTTAGGATTTACTGTTTTACGCTATCATTTCTATCAAGTATATTTTATTGGGTAAAAAGTCATGTTGGTTATAATTAAATGCGCTTGAAATTTCCTTTATTGTAAGAATGATCTTGGTAATAATATCTTAACACATTGATAATAAAAATAACTTTACATAGTTGACTAATTAATTAATTAATAGTAATAGACATATTTCTCTTCTTATCGTTGAACAAATCCGGTGTGATTGATTCATAACCCTTTCTAATGATTAATGGCTTGGCAAACCTTTGAATTATTAGTTAGGGATAGATAAATCTATTTTAATCTTACTATATTGCTTGCAGGGATGCCTCAAGTAATAGTTATAAATATTTCTTGTACATATTATATATTTTATTCCGTATGTAGCCAAGATACTCGACCAGAATTTGTCTGCAATAGGAAAGGAAACCGAGACACTTTGACAAAATTTATCTGCAAATAGACAAGTGGTCAGTGGCTGACAACTAACAAAAATCAAGCTAGCAATATCATATAACATTTTTTAATGTGCTTATTGAAATTATCCAGGAATTTTATTCCACCCCTGATTGATGGAGTTATTTTATTTTTATATAGTCAATGCTTCGGATGAAATATATTATCATAACGGGGATTTATTATAACGAGAGTTACTATCTTAATTAATTAGTATTTATTAATCAAAATATCAAGAGCGTGGCTTCTTTGTAGGATTTTTTTATTCGTAATGGTAACAGTGATTTGATTTCCGAAACTAGAGAGTTTAGCAGTCAAAAGGTTTTGCATAATTCGTAACTAGTTTAACTTTGGACTTTTTCCCTTCAAAATAGATTTGGCACTAATAGTAATAACATATCCAATCTTAGAATGTCGCAGAAACGTGATAGGAAAACTTGACCCAACTATTGTTTTGAAGCGTGTGATAATTCGGATCGTGAAATAAATAATCCATTAACATGGGAATTCGTTTTATCATACAGCAATGGTGTGTGCTAATAATATCCATCCATACAGACAGGGTTGCAATCCAAAGAATATTGGATTATAGTAGATCAAATTCCTGACATTTTAATTAGTGATGGATCTTTAGATTGTGCGATGCAAGAAATAAGTTAATATATATATATATTATTTCCATTGAGCTACAAAAAATCCTTTATTAATATCAGATTTATTGATTAGTTTTAATTGATATACTTAATAGGTAATGGGGTTATATAAGTAATCGCATATTTTTAAATTTTTTCTAACCAATCTATAAACTTCAAACTCTTCTAACAAATGAAAATCTACGTAATCATTTCTAAGATTCAAATCGTTCTCATGCCGATAATTAACCCGATATTTGCAATAAAATTGGTCATCTTCAACGCTTCTCAATAACTGTAAATCTTTAAAATTTAGAATGGCTTCATCTTCTTCAAAATCATAAAGCGTACCCCAATGTATTATTCCATATTTTACTTCAAGCCTACTTAGTACCGAATTATTCATTTGCTTTTCATCAATCTTAAAAATAAAACTTTGTTCTGTATCATCGATACAATAAGTCTCTGATAAAGCTCTTCCTTTAATGTTCCAACAAGCTGGATTATAACCACCAAGGATTTCCCCAGTTTCTTTAATCTTCATAAGAACTATAGTTTTTTTAATATTAAAACATTTTTCTTGAAAAGCATATTTACGAGAATATCCATCCCGAGTTCCACTGAATATCAATTCAAAATTATAAGGTAAATTATCTTCATTATAGATATCTTCTTTCCAATCAATCCAACTAGAAATAAGACATTTGGTTTCTAAATTCAACAAATTTACATTATCTGTTCTTGGATCTTTTGGGGACAATAATCTTAATCCCAATTCTTCATTATTATAATATTGTAAAAGTTCATTGTATAATTCATTTTTGAAAATATTTTTAAATGGTGAAATCTTTTCATGAAAATCTTTCGAGGAAATTCTATTAAACCTTATTAAAGGAATGATGTCTTCCAGTATATTCATTAAATCATTGTTATTCCACTTTGAAACATTTTTTTGTAATTCCTTATTCTGACCTAATCCCCATTGTACAATATAATCCCAAACTTCAATCTCGCCTAATGGTAAATCATTTTTTAAAACAGATATAAGCATTGCTTTTTCAATTGTTTCAATGTCGTGAGATTCTAAAAATAATTCTGGATTAGTAAATAATAATCCATCGTAAAATTTTTGAAGTAATTTGAATGATTGATGCTCAAATGAATATTTATAAAGGTAAACTATATTTTGTTGGAGCCATGTTCTATCTTTTTCAATTAAATGAATTTGTAAATCCTCAATCATTTCATGAAAGTATAATTCATCACAGGCTTCAAGAAGTTCTAAAATTTCATTAGGATCCAAATGGTCTACATGTGTTTCAACAACTCCAATATAAATATAGCTTTGAACAATTATATATCATTATTAATAAGTTTGTTAATGAAATATATAATAATTAATTAATTAATAAAGCACATTAAACTTACTTTAAAACAATTTCAAACACTCTTGGAGAAATATTTTTCTTTTCAAATAAAATAACACCATCATCAGATCTTTTTACCCAGTTGTTTGATAATGCAGCTTTAAAATATAATGACCTTGATTTTAAAATTGTAGAATGGGCTTTAAAGATTCTGATATCCTGGCCCTCTACCCCAACTTTGATTTCCGTATCATAATAATCAGATTCATTTAGCAATTTTGCAAAATCTTTTAAAAGAGTTTTTACATATTTTAATGGTGAATAACCGCCAATAGAATTAATTGAATTAATATTTTCATTAATATTCTTCAAGGGATTAGACATTTTTAACAATGTTTTTTTTTTGATTAGAAAAAAGAAAAAAAAGCGCGTCATACGATTTGGTGTAACTTTGCACCAATCCAATTCATTTTGTTTAAGGCACAAAACAATTATTTGAATCATGAAAGTATGTATTGTAGCAGTCACTATTAATAGTATTATTGTTTGGAATTTTTTCGATAAAATTTTTTTTAATTATTTAAAAGATTGCTATTCAAGGTTGTTGTCATAACACTTTAGATATAATTTATGAAACATTAAAGCATATTGAAAATGTTAATCAAATTAAAATTGATTTATTATTGATTTGCGGAGATTTTGAGGTAGAAATTTACATTTGCTTTCTAAATCTTTATTTATTATAATTTTTAAATTTTACATTTATCATAACACTATTCAATTATAAATATAATAATATGAAGTCAATACGAAACCTTAATGATTTGGATTGTATGAATGTACCAGAAAAATACAAAGAACTTGGCAGCTTTTACAAATATTATTCTGGTAAAGAAAAGGCACCATATCTAACAATTTTCATAGGAGGAAATCATGAAGCAATTAATTATTTATGGGAATTGTAAGAATTCTTGTTTAATTTAAAAATTATTTAAAATAGGAATACTAATTAATGTTTTTGGGGAGATTTTAGATATTATGGAGGGTGGGTATGTGATAATATTTATTTTATGGGATATTCAAATGTAATTAATTTTGGAGGTCTTCGTATTGGTGGAGCATCAGGAATATATTATAATAGTGATTATAATTTAGGTAATAAATTCATGGTAAATTATGATACTTTTTTAAATTACGATTTTCTTTAATTAAAGTTCATTTTTGTTTATTTAGGATATCATGAAACTTACCCTTACAATAGATCTTCAAAGATTAGTTCATATCATGTTAGATTTTATGAAATATACAAGTTACTTCAGGTTCATATTTATCATTTTGAAAAAAAAAAAATTTCATCTAATCAAAAAAAAATATATATACTTATTATTTTATAATTATATTTTATTGCCTAGATACAAAAACCAATGGACATATTTTTATCTCATGATTGGCCACAAGGTATCAGTTATCATGGTGATTTAAGTCAACTTCTTAGACAGAAGCCAGCATTTGAAAAAGATGTAAATACTACATATTTTTTATAATTTTAATTAACAAAAAAAAAATCAGATATTTTATCAACTATCGTTTATTTTTGTAATTTTCAAGATTAATTCAGGCAAATTTGGATGTCCTCCTTTTAAACATTTATTATATAAATCAAAGCCTAAATTTTGGTTTGCTGCACATCATCATGTTAAATTCGCTGCTTTAGTTCATCACGATTCATCATCAATCAATAATTACAATAGTAACGATGGTAATATATTAGAATTTAAGGGTTTTAATATTGAAGAAAAAGTTGTGAATCCTGACGAAATAGATATGAATCTTGATGAAGATGATGACAACGATGATGACGGTGAGAAAGAGAAGTTGGATGAGGAATTAGGCGAAGAAATTAATGAAAAGTTGGATGAAGGAATGAAAGAGAAGGTGGGCGAAGGGAAATATGATGATAAAAAAATTATAAGTGAGGTTCCTGGTGATGTCAATGAAAATAAATTAATCATAGGAAATACTAATACTGAATTTTTGGAAGCTGGTAATGAAATGTCACTTGATAACAATGATAATAGTAATAATAAATCATTAACAATGCCAACAGTAACAACAACTTCAACGGTTGATTTAACATTATCTTCTTCATTCACTTCAAATATTGCAACAACAAGATTTTTATCGTTGGACAAATGTGTTCCTGGGAGAAAATTTTTACAGGTTTGCCAATCACCACATATATATATATATATATATATATATCTTTTTTTTTCAAAATATCCAGAATATCAAAACATAATAACAGATTATCATTATTATTATTATCCAAAAGATTTTAGATTTTCCAAATAATGATAATGAAGTTATGGAATTGAAATATGATGAAGAGTGGTTGGCAATTATAAAAGCTACAAATCCATACTTTAGTACGTCACATGTTCAAGAAATTTTGCCAACAGAAAACGAGATAAACAGGTAGTCAATATATATTTTTTGAGATTCAATTAATATAGTTCCAAATTTTATATTTCAGAAAAAATTCATGTTATTTTTAATATTATAGTAAAATAGAAACTGAATTAAAGTGGATAAAAGAAAATATTTCAAATAAAGAATCTGGACTTTTGATTCCAAAAAACTTTCGACCAACAGCTCCAGCGTATGATGATACTTTGTCTCCCACCCAACAAAAATCTTTCAACACAAGTAAGTAATTAAATAAACGTGATTTATTACAAAAATTTGATGACATATTTATTTGCCAATTCTATTTTTATTTATTAATTGATAGGAACACCTTTTCTAAATCCACAAACTGTTGATTTCACAAACCTTTTAAATATTAATAACAAAATTAATATAAACGGGCAAAATTACATTGCTACCAATAACATTACCATCAATAATGCTAATACCAATACTACTTCTCTTACTATTATCGAATGATGTTGTTTTTAAATTGATTAAGGAAAAAAATTTTTTTTTTGATTAAATGATTACATTAATCAATTTGTAAATATTATGGTTTTATTGATGCATTAGAAATATAATTTATATAATATTCTCAAAAATAATAAATTATAGTCATTGTTGAAATCATATGCATGGGATATTTAATTATTTACTTGGCTAGAAACATTATATAAAACATTATTATTATTTTTTGAATTAATAGAATTTTCTTTAATAAAAAGAAAAATTCTATAATGCCAAGTCATCTTTATCAATTACCAACACGATCGCGTCAACTACAACACCAAAAGAATCACCAAATAAAACAATTACAAAAACAATCAATAATATCAATTCACTATAAATTTATTTTATTATCTTCTGCCTTCCTATTATTGTTGTTATTATTATTATTACTATTAATCCTATCCAAAATATCAATTTTTAATTATTCATCATCTTTACCATCATTAAATTTTTCTGCATCCATAAATCATCAACAAAGCAATAATCACGATACATTATTAATTGATGACAATTCACAAATCCCTAAAAATAAAGATTTCATCGCCCCACTTGATGATATGCATGATCCTTTATTTGATATAAGATTTAAAAATGGTTTATTAAGCTTCTCTGAACCTTCGTCATTATCGCATTCAACATCGCTATTGAAAAAACGTGCTCAGCCACCACCACCAAAAAAATCTTCAAAAGTTAATCCACCAGGGATTTCAATTGATAATCAAGAAGCTACCTCAGAAACATTGGAACATGAATTACACAAGCACTATGAAGAAGAATCAGAGGATTGGTGGGAAGTTTATCGTTCCTATGAGTATGAAACTGCAGATTCATTGGGTAACATGTTTTTAGTAGAAGTGGAAGAAGCTCAAGTAATTCATAAACAACATGCTTTAATGGATGATTTACAACATGCCGATGTGTCAACTAAAGAGTATGCATCACAAGAAACATTGAATACTGGTGGCATGGTTACTAAAAGTTCCAAAGATAATGACAATAATAAAGCAGGTAGCAGTTTTGCTAGTGGTGGCGGTGGAATACAACAAGTTCAAGATAATGTTAATAATACTTCAATAGCTGTGGCTGAACAACAACAATATCAACAACAGGATCTAATTGATGTCAAACAATATCAACATATACATGTTGTTCAATCCTCAGCTGCAGGATTATTGACTAATGAATATGAGGAAGCACGATTTGTTCAATACGAATATACGTTGGAAATTGATTTATTTAATCAATGGGAATACCAAAGTGAACAGGTAACAAGTAAAAATGATAATTTGGAATTGATTAATTAATAGTAAATTTTAGTCGGGATTTTTTTTCGAAAATAATTGAATTTCTTTTATTTTTAATTGTTTCGAGTTTTATAAAATATAAAACTATGATAATAAAATTTCATTTACACAATCTTCGGAACTAAGCTATAAACCAATATGAATTTTTATGCACATGTTTTATACATGCTTTTGTGTAATTAATACATTTTGTGCAGGTTGGCAGCTAGAACAATGGACACTGTATATGACTGATAAAAATGCAATTAATATTAATTATAATTGGTGATTGTTTGAGTTATTTGAATGAACTTTACATTCAAGTTTTCATTTGATTAGCATCAAAAACAAGGTATTGTAAATAATCTCACCTTACATTCAAATATTACGAAAACATAACCCATTCGCACATTTTCACATAAAAAAATTCAAATTACAAAATCCTTCTTTAAACACAAATAATCAAAAATGCTTACTTCCAACCATTAATTTTTTTGCATATTGTTAATTGAGTTCTTGGTTTTTTGTTATACTGTAAAACTTATATGGTTGGCTCGGTCTAAAGGCCTCCAGTTGCTGCGCCACGCACTCAAATTTCGAAAAATTGCAATTTCGTGATTCGTTCAAAAATGCAATAAAAAGGTTTCACGTGATATTGGTCAAAAAATTTATTTCTTACTGCCAAATTTAGATATGATGGTGGAGCATTAGTTTAAATTTAGTAATGATGATCAAAACCTAGTTTAAATTTAGCAATGATCATAGCACTCAAATTTCTCATGAGCATAGTAAAGTACACGTTTTAAAAAAGAATATAACTCTACAACAAAGAATTTTTGAGAAAAACTCTTTATTACATTAAAACTAAATACATATTCTATCAACTAATAGAGCAATTTTTTAAAAAAATAGGACAGAAAATGATTTCTATACTTTTAAAATTTGCCCAAAATTTAGGAGGTCTTTAGATCGAGCTGACTATAAAAGATAAAAAATATCCCTGAAATTGAAAACCTATGTGAAAATTTTAACAATCAATTAACTGGGTTCAGATATTTCTTTCAACAAAATGACCCTTGAAGTTTGTGAATTTTTTGGGAAAAAGAGAGTTGTTGCAGCCTCCACCATCAAAAATTCTATCAACGAAAAAAAATTTTGATCCTAGAAGAAAATCATTAGAAGTAATCTGTATGAAAAACTTTACCTGAATCTAACACCTGCATCAGCATCATTCTCTGAAGAACGCAAGTGGAACGATCCGCGACATTGATATCGTTCCTGAAAGTGATATTATTCTCGACATCTATTGAAAAATAACAAGATTCACTCCTTGACTGTTAGCCGGATACTCTCATGCAAAAAAATACATGATTTATAAGTGGAATTGCAGGCGTCAGATTTAATTAAAATTTTCTATTACAACACGCCGATGCCATATTTTACCTGCTCCATAACTGTGGATCTTTTTCCACGGGTTGAGCCACATGCATGCTGTGAAGTTTTTGGCAAAACTTTCCCTTATCTTCCTCTCAGACCAGACTTGACTGTTACCATATGGTCATTGATAATTGATGAAGATCAGCATTTGTGTGATGATCTGAGCGCTGTGAAGATTAGTGAAAAGATCCTTGACGATTGATGCAGCAGTCTCAGTAAACTCCAGAGCCCCGTCGTAAAACCCCCTGGAATTCTGTTGCATCATTGTATCATTGGCACCACCGTTGTCCGATTAGCCTTTTGTACTCTAGAAATGTGTGAGAACGACTGTAGAGTGCTCAAGGTAGCGTGCGTGCTTCAACGTCTGTAAATTTTCGATAATCAAACATCGCACATCGAAATGTTTCAGTCATGTTACCTGACAACTTGTAATTAATTACAATCATAATATTATTATTATTGTTGATTATGAAAAGCAAAATATCAATCTAGATTTGCTCCGCGTTTCGATTCCAATTAAAATATTTATAAACTAAAAGACATATCAATGCAAATAAAAAAATAGTATCTCCATACCAAACAACACTCGCGTTTTGCCATCTTGGACTCAAATAAATTGTTTTTCCAAGAAAAAAAAACCAATTCGCGTCAACAATAGGGGTTCCATATATAAATAATTAATTCGTAAATCATTCTTACTGATGGTTCCTTTAAACCATAAGGAAAACAGGCTTATTGAAATAAATTAGGTGAATTTCCATTGGACTATTACAAGTTAAATGAGTCATTAACCTTAACTTTTTTTATAATCTTCATTATTAAAAACATCATTGTCATTTTTTTCAAATAATTCTGATTTGTTTTCAATTAATTCATCATACAGTATCATTTCCACTATCTTCTTTTAATTTCTTTCCATATTAGAATTAGATGATGAACTATTGTTAAGTGGTGAAACTTCATTAATATTATTTGCATTATTTGCAATTGCATTTCCAGAACCAGATGAATCAACCAAATCCTCAAAAGAATCTTCACATGAATAATTTATACTATCCAAAAACTAGTTAAAAAATTTTTTTCATCTAAAGTTAATTTATACCTTGAATATAATATGATTACATTCACAACATTGAATTAACCTTTGTGAATCTGGTATTTTATATCACTCTTCAAAAGTTTTTACAGTACATATGTCAATATACCAAATTGATTTTGTTAAGTCAAGTTCATACTGATAACTGATATCATGAGCAGCTGTTTTCTCAACTTTTTCTCATTATTTTCAACAAATTCTAATTCTAAATTATTCAAATCCATTCCTTGCTGCTAATTAAGCATAGATACAAAAAATATTAATAAATACAAGTTAATAATTTGTGCTTAAATCATCATACCTTTTAGAAAGATTTCATTCAAAGCCTTTTCATGATTGATAGAATTCTTACATACAACTCATTAAACTTCAACATGGAAACCATTTACCAAAGAATTGAGAAAATATATAAATTTAATCATTTAAACAAAAAAAGAAAGGAGAATCAATCAATAACAATCACATCTTTTTTCATTTAGACAATGTATAATGATCAATTTAAAAATTTATCAAATATAATGTTTCCTTGCTTTTAAGTATAATGAGATATTGTAATAAATTTTTCATAAGTGAATGTGATTCATGAAATTTCACAATTTATTATCTATAGTGTATATTGTTGCTTGTCAAAACTCCTCTGGAAATCAATTGGCAGAGCTACACACTAATTGTTTGTCAGAGTTTTGGCAGAGTTTCGCATTTAGGGGTTTTGCAATTGGCAGAGTTTCAGTAGGTTACTCACTAATTGTTTATTAGAATTTCAGCAGAGTTTTGGCAGTCATTAAGAGGTTTCGGCAAGCAACCTTAAGTGAATCACACTTATTATTATTAGAATATATAAATAAACGCATTAAATATTAAATATTTACATAAATAATAAATTTTTAAATTTAAAATAATAATATTAGAAAATAGTCATAAGTGCAAAACAAACATATAATAATCCAATTGGATAAGCAATTAGCAGTCGTTGGTCTGTCATTTGTAGAACAATTACAAATATTGTAGAAGATGAATATGTGCACCAACTTATTGCAAGCGTTGAAGCCACAATTCCAATAGGCCCACTGTAAAATTATAATCAGTGAGAAACATTAATATAATTATTTAATAACAATAATAATAATAATAATAGTAGTAGTAGTAGTAGTAGTAGTTACCATAGAGGTATACCAATGCCAATACAACTTAATAATGTTAAAGGCAATAGACAATAACCTAATACACTTGCTGTACGATATACATCTATTCCTAAATCACTCATAAGATTCAATATTAAATAAATAGATAACCATCCAAGAAGTGCCACACCATAAATGTATCCAAAGTGTGCTTTCCCTGTCTTGATTTATTGATTTGATTTTTTGTTAGCAAGACAATCTTTCAAAGAAACAAAAAACCCTTTGTAAATAACAAACAAAAAATTTTCCTTTACCAGTAATAAAGAAACACCAAATATTAAACAATATATAAGTGGTCCTGCTAAATCAGTATCATCCATTAGGTGCTTATCGATTGTTTTAAGTGGATTCAACACTGTCAAACTCTAAACAATAATCAAAAAGAAACTTTAGTTTATTTAAAGGATTTAAATAATAACATTGTTCCCAGTTAAATTATTACTTTGGTTTTTATATGTTCAAAATTAATTCCAAGTTCTAAATTTTAAAAAACAAAATATTAAAGATCAATCAAAAGTTAACTTCAGCACTAATATTATTTTTATTTTATAAAACACACATGTACATACCTTCTAATAAGGGCGGTTCGTCAGCAAATCCACCCGTGCCAAATGCGCTCCAAAAATTTCCACTAGTATGAAATTCATTGTGATGCATATAGGCTTGAGTAGTTGGTTGTCCAAAATACCCTGTATTTACTTGTGCTGTATAAGTATTGGGATCTCCATAGTTGGTTGTGTAAAACTGTAAATCTTCTGGTGTATTATAGTTGTACATATCTGATTTTTCGAAAAGAACAGAATGAACATTTCCTTGTTCCATAATTTGTAATATTAATATAATATTGTTTAATTTTGTGTAGGTAAAATTGTCATAAAATTTTTACACGTGGCTTACCAAAAAAAAATTATATAAAATGTTGCACAACATTACATTCATATAAAAATCTTTTTTAAAATTTTTTTTTGTATTTTGATCAACTTCAAATTAAAGATTTAAAGTTTTACTAATCACCTCTATAAATTTTGTAAATTTTCTTTTATAAAAAATAATAAAAAATACTCCTAAAACATGGCAACTCAACCACCCTCTCAATTTGCTTGTACATGTGTACTTTTTTTGATTGATATAAAATTCTTAATGTTGAATTTCGAAATTTCAGAATTAAAAAAAAAATTTAACATTTACATATAAATTTGCTTTATACTTAGATCGTACCGTTAGCAACTTGGCACTTTCTGCAGGGAACCCCACTTATCAACCTTTAGAAAGTTTTCAAGAGTAAGTCAATGAAATCCGAAAATATATTTATTAAATTATAAACGCACATTTAATGACATCTTGAGCACAGTTGAACTATTTGGATTTTTTATATATACGTTTATTAATGTTTATATATTTATATATTTATATTTTATTACGTTTATGTAATTAAAGCCCTGGTGGAAGTATTAAAATATTTCAATATAGTAAGGATGGAAGTCATTTTGGTTGGGTATCACCAGAAAGGTAGGTGTTTCAATTATTTCAATTATGATTATCATCAAATATTATATTATATGAATTTCTTTACTAATTAATAAAATCAATGTGTCTTACTATTATTATTATTATTATTATGAAAGTGTTAAAATCATTGATGCTGAAACTGCAGAATTGATTAACGAAATTCGAAAAAGTAATGTTGTGGAAATCGGCTTTTCTCCAAAGGGAAATTATATTTCAACTTGGGAAAGACCTGGTAATACATCGATTATCATTGTGCATTAGTTTATTTTTTAATAATGAAAACTAGCAAGTAATTACTTATATACATAATATGAAAATCATAATAATACTTCTTTTTAATTAGTGAAATTACAAGATGGTTCAGCTCACAAGAATTTAATTATATGGGAGGTTGCAACTGGCCAAGAATTAATTTCATTCACACAAAAATCTCAAAACAATTGGTTTGAATTTATATATTATGCTATAGGATAACAATTATACATAAATATATATGTGTGTGTGTATATTAAAAAAATTTAATTATTATTATTAGGAATGTTCAATGGACTGAAGATGAAACATATTTTTGCCGCATGGTTACCAATTTAATTCATTTCTATGATAGTAAAAATATAGAACTAGGTATCCATAACAAATTACCTTTGGATGGAATTAATGATTTTTCTTTATCTCCTGGCAAGAATCCTTCAATAGCTGTGGTTATTCCAGAAAAAAATGTAAGAGATGATTATCATTATCATCATCATTTATTTATTTAATGTTAAAATTATTAATTTTTATTTTTTTAAAACAAAAATAATTAAATAATCCAGGCAGCACCAGCAATTGTTCGTATCTACTCTATTACAAATTTTAATTCACCTTCAGCCCAAAAAACTTTTTATAAAATGGACAAAGTGGTAATGTTATGGAATGATTTGGGAACAAGTTTATTAGTTTTGACACAAACTGAAGTTGACAAGACAAATAAATCTTATTATGGAGGAGGTAATATACATGGATGGAAATGTTGTAGTTTTTATTGTATTTTTTATATATAATTAATTAATTAATTAATTAAAATATTTTTATTTTCTTTAGAAACAAATTTATATTTTCTTTCCGTATCTAAAAATAACGAATGTAAAGTTCAACTTGGTAAATAATCTATAATTTTATTTTTTGGGGTTTTGTGGGTAAAAGTTATTTATTATTTACTTATTCATTAAATTTTTTAATAAAGATAAAGAAGGGCCAATTCATGAAGTAACATGGAGTCCAAATTCTAACGAATTTATAGTTATTTATGGATGTAGGATTATTAAATTATCTTTTTATAAAATTTTTTTATATACCAACTATATGTTTAATAATTATTTTAATTTTATAAATAAATTAGATATGCCATTTGCCAAAGCAACATTGTTCAATCAACGTGCGGATCCAGTTCATGATTTTGGTATTGATGCACGAAATACTGCAATATTTAATCCTCAAGGAAGACATATCCTTTTACTTAAATTTTTTTGGAAGGAGAGAGCTAGAAATTAAATCTACTTTTATTTTTTTTAAAAAAATTAAAGAATTCCTTAACTTTAATATTATATCTCGTATTTTACTGATTTTGATAGCTGGTTTTGGTACATTGAATGGAACAGTGGATATTTGGGATCGTGAATCATTAAAAAAAATAACAACATTTAAAGCAACCAATTCGACAGAATGTAGTTGGTCACCTGATGGTCGATATATTCTGACAGCAACTCTTAGCCCGAGACTTAGAGTTGATAATTGTTATAAAATTTGGCATTATACCGGTGTAATAATAAATTCTAACAATTTTCAAGAATTATTACAGGTATTATTGATTTATTTAAAAAAAAATTTTTTTTATAAATAGATTATATCCTTAATTGCTATATAATTAATTATTGTTAGGTTCAATGGAGGCCTGCAAATCCTAATTTATATCCTATGCGGTCATTATCTCCACCACCAAAAATCACTCAAAACTCTGATAATATAATATCAAAGCCAACTCGTAAGTTACATAGGCTTTATATTTATTAATTGTATTATTATATAATGCTTAAACATATAATTACACACATATAAATAGCAACAAGAGTCGGTGCATACCGACCCCCTCATGCTCGTGCACGTGGTTCTTCAAACGACATATTTAAGGTATAAGAATCAATAATAACGATAAATTATTCCATTAGTGTTTTACACAAATATATTTAGTTATTGCTTTTTTTTAAAAAATTTTTTCTAGGATACAGGTGATTCCAACGATAATAACTCTCCAGTAAGATCAGAATCTACTACTACCACAAAATCTACAGAAAGTTTGTATAATATTTTGAAATATTGTTATCATCATCATCATCACCATAAATTATTATCATTATCTTCATGATTTTTTATGCGATTTAATAATAATATTATTTTGAAATCTTGCCTTTTATACTTAGCGCCATCAAAAACTGCTTTAATTAATAAAAAGAAACGAGAAGCTGCAAAAAAAAGAAGAGAAGAGGCTGCTGCTGCTGCTGCGGTGGCTGCGGCGGTGGCGGCTGAAAATTCAGAGAACAAAAAGATTGAAATTTCTAATAATAACAATACCAACAACAATATTAGCAATAATAATATCAACAATAACAATGCTAAAAATAATAATATCAAGAAGAATGAAAAAACTAATGGAAATAATAATAATATTACTACTGATAATAATAATAATAATAGATCCAATGATAGTTCTAGATCATCATCTCTTAGTAGAAAACAAAGTATTAATAGTATTGGTAGTAATATAAGTACAAGTCCTTTATCAGAAACAGATAAAAAAGTTCGTAATATAAATAAAAAGTTGCGTCAAATAGCTGAGCTAAAAGAAAGAAAAAAAAGAGGCGATAGCTTGGAATTGACGCAAGTAAGTGTATAGAATATTAAATTTATCTAGAAATAAAAGATATTATTAATACAAGTAATATTAATATTATTTAATTTATTAATAGATTGAAAAAATAGCATCCGAGTCAATGTTAATACAAGAACTAGAAAAACTAAAATTATGATATAATTTATCACAACAGTTTATAATAAGATTTATATAATGGTTTCTAATATATATTTATATTTAATTTAATGAGAAGAATTTTTGGATTTTGGACGCAATTTTTAAAACAAAAAAAACTTTGTGAATAAAATAATAAAATTGAATATATGTGATAGTGAATTCATAGAAATTATATTATATCCAATTAATTAAAATAAAAATTTAAAATAGAATATACGAGCTTTCTGATAATCAAGTTAAAAGAACTTTATGGAATGAGTTCAAAATAAAACTAAATTTATTAATTCATTAGCACAACGTTTAATATCATCATCACATCTAAACCATCGACAGCAATGTCATTTATAGAATTGTTTTTTAAATAACACCAACTCGACTCAATTTCTAATTTCTTTTAAATCAAAAACCTTTTGTTTTTTTTTCTTCCAAGACAGTTGCGAAACTTGATTGAGATTCTCGCTTTAAAATCGACACCGCTTCCTCGGATACATTTGCACGTATATTTTTTGTTTCCTTATTCGCAGCGCATAAAGTACATTTTGCATTTTTTACGTATTTAACATATTTAGTTTATTCCTTAAATCGTTAAATCATGTTACCAACTTTAGACATTCCTCAAAACTTAACAGCAGCAAATTTTTTTACTCTATTTGCCATATAGAATTATCACCTTTAAAATCAATCAACATGTTTGTATAAAAATATCTGGACGGACTATGACAAAGCGCATCCTAATAGTATGTAACCATCGGTTGTATAATGGCAATAACACGTAGACATTCAAAAGGGGCCTTTCCCACGGTCACCCATCCAATGCGTAATCAGTTAGCTGTTCGAGGTTGTCAACACCGACAGAGCATATTATATGCATGTGTTCTAGCCCTTGAGTTCGTCCACATCAGAACCTACCTCAAGATTATCAATGCACTTTTTAGCTTTGGCTCGTTGTCTTAGAACCTTGTGGTAATTAGCAACGTAATCAAGGTTCTTGCGATAGGATAAATGTTTTCTATCTCTATTAGCCAGGAAGTCATCACTATTCTCTTTATATTTTAGGTAATGATTAATATTTAACTTTCACAAAAAATATTCCTTAAAGAATTGTAGTATATATCTTGAGATGATCTCCCTTCGTGTTTTGCGCTTTACTTTAGATATTTAGCTATGTAAAGTGGGCATAGTTCTAAGCCAAAAATGTTCTACATGATGATTACTATTACATATAGCAGTGACATTAACTCAAAATTGCTTTTTTTACAACATGGTCCGTTTCTATTGTCCACGGTCCATATTAATATGGTTTTCCACTCTACTATTAGAAGAACTTATGGTAAAATGACAGATTAAAGGTATAATTTTAAGGCTTATAATTTTAATAAATGTACAAAATAAATAATATTCAAGACCTAAATTATGGTAGCATTCTGAGGCATCTGGTCAATTAACATATTATTATGGGTTCACGTTTGTTGTGTTGGTTGAAGATCAACGATTCTTTCGTGAAAATGTACCTATTTATAATCAAATAGTTCATAGTCTAAAAGGTCCAAAAGTAGTGCGCTAACATCATATATGGGCTTAGAATTATTTACACGTAACAAAAAAAACGAAACTGGCCGAGTTGTAGATGACTTATTTGAAAATAAATAACATGTTTATTGCTTCATGGCTGAAATTTCTGCGTCGCACACATTCACTAACTTTTATTATCAAAAGAATAAAGACAATTCATCCACATTTCTCTTCACATTAATGTAATAAGAACAATGAACTCGCGCTTGTGAATACCAAGGGCCCCCATTTTTTATTATTTTTAGATAAATAAAAACAAAAATTGCTCTGATTTTAAAGTTTTTTTTATTATGCTAAATACAATTGAATAAATAACGGCTTTTGATCAAAAAAAAAATTTGGTTAATCGTTAGTCGATCCTTTTTATTATTATTAAAAAAATAATTAAATAATGACATGAATAAAGTTTGGTTGTTTTTGATTAGTAACAAAAACAAGGACAAAAAGGTTGATTTTTGGTCGTGAAAAATAAATAAATAAGTCTGCCATCTTAAAATTTCTCATTATTTATCCAATTTGTATTCCTTAAAAAAAAAAGATATCTAATCAATTCGATTGTTTATGTGATGGAGATAAAAGATATGTATGAATGCCTGTCGGGTTTTCAAAATCTTCAACCGAGAGGAATTGATAAGGTTAAAAACAACCTTAGGATCGATTTGTTCACGTGATCAGAATATTCATTCTCGACAAGACAAACCTTGTAATTTAAAGAAATATATTAATATTTTTATTAGCAATGATGTGTTTCTTTTTCTAACGATATCTTTATTCCAGACAGTTGCAACAAATTTGAGGGTTTTGGAACTTGAAACTTAGGAATTAAAGCGCTCAGACGTCGTTGTGACAATGATTTCAACCATGATGGATTTTCACGGAAGGGATGAACCCAAATATCACCATCAAAATAAACAGCAACGAATATTTTAATTCATTAAGAATTGTCATGGAATTCGAAATTTACCATATCATCATCAACAATTACTTGCTTAGAACCTCAGAATACATACAGAGAGTGAGTTCATTTGAAAGGATCAAAACTACTTATCTCACGTTCATAAATCTATTCAGACACGTCAAACTCTGCCAAAGTTGTATGGAAAATAATGTCATCAATCGGAAAAAAGAAAGGTAAAGGCAAAGGTGAGTCACTGTCGTTGTGAAGACAAAATAAAAAAATATTCAAGTTGGCAATTTGGCAATTCAGAACATCAATGAAGGCGAACACAATTTTTTTTGTAAATTAACAAAAAAATTTGATAATTATAAAAAAAAACAAAAACAAACATATGCTATTGAAAAATTATGACGATACTTTGTGAATTCTTTTCATTCGTTGTGATTGAAATTTTCAATGAAGAAATACTTCATCGGTAAAAAGAAAAAAAAGATCTCAAGGTGTATGATCTTTTTTAATCATTAATTAAAAAAAACCATCCATATAAATAAAGACAATTTTTACTTATTATTATGTTTTGAAAACAAATTGTTATCATTAGAATCGTAAATACTGTTGAATTTAAAAATCAAATTTAAATCCAAATCCAAAAGCAAATCCTCAAAAATGACTTTCCACGTTTTATGCCTTGGGCCCTTGCAAAATGAAACAAATGTTTTTGAACATTCTGTTGTCGTCCAATTTGACAGCATGCAATTTACTTCCACCCAGGTGAACCCACAACCAGTTTCTCTTTAGACAAATTTGAATCCTATATTTCATACCATCACCAATCAATGTGTTCGTACTCATATTGTGGAAGATTTCTCTATCCAGAGAAGGCAAAATGGGTTCAAAGAGATGAAAATTACCTCTGTTCACTGAAGCACAGATACAGCGTTAATCATGGATCCAAACCCTCCTGGCAATGCGCAATTTGTGTAAAAATAATCCCAAACAGAAACTTGCTATCATACCTTCACCCAGTTCTGGGAAAAGACATTTCAAATCCCTCTTGGTAAGCGAAGTATTTATTGCCAATCAACATCAAATATTGGCTAGTTTAACTCTCTTTCTACTTGTTAGCAACTAAATAACTGCGCAGTAGGAAATTTTGCGGCTTGTAAGTGTGAATCATGTGGTGTAACCATAAATAAAAAAAATAAAATGGTGATATAATAAAATGGTAATAAAATAAAAAATCAAAATGTCTAATAATTGCAGTTTTTCATCCTTGGAAAATATCAAACGCTTGCTTAACAAGCTTACAAATTCTAATAATGATAATAATAATAATAATAATTTGCCATTAAAATATATCGGTAAACTTTTAGATGATTTGACAAATTTGTTGAATGATTCGGTTAATTACGATACAGAAATCAAAGTTGGAGTTGATGACCAGGAGGTGAAAATTTTTAAGGTTCATTCCGGCATTTTAAAAGCAAGATCTTCATATTTTAAGACTGCTTTATCAAACAATTGGATTAAAAAATCTAATGATGGTAGTATTATTTTATTTGAAAAAAAAAATATTTCACCAAAAATATTTGAGGTTCTTTTAATGTAAGATTATTATAATAATTTAATAATTGAGAAATAAGTAATTGGGTAAATAATTATTATAATGATTATATTTATTTTATCTACATTTATTTAAAAGGTATATGTATGGTGGGATTGTTAATATAGATAATCTAGTCCCAAATGAAATTTTAGAACTGCTTGAAGCATGTGATGAATTATGCTTCAATGAACTGATTGAAGATTTACAAAATTATTTAATTAAAGAGGAAGAATGTTGGATTCAACAAAATCTAGTTTATTTTTATAAATTTTTATCAGAAAATCAATCATTTAATTTACTTCAAAAATATTGTGACAAATTATATAATAATCACACAGAGTTATTTTTAGAATCTGATGGCATGGAAGAAATCACTAAACCAATGTTTATATCGATATTGATAAAAGATGATTTATCATTAGATGAGATTAAAATTTGGGATTATGTTATTCAATGGGGAGTAGGACAAAATAAGAAGTTATTAGAAAAAGATATTTCAATGTGGGATAACAATGATTTTGATTTACTAAAAAATACATTAGAAGGTATTATTCCTTTGATAAGATTTGATGGTATTTCTTCAAATGATTTTTATAAAAAAATCACACCATTTAAAAATCTTATTAATAATGAATTATATGAAAAACTTCTTCAATATTATGACAATGAGAAATTGAAGCCAAAATTGTTGCCTCAAAAACATTTAAGAACAGGCAAAGGACAATTATTAAGTTTAGAAATGAAATCTTTAATATCTAGTTGGATTGATTTGAAAGAAAAGATCTATAA